AAGAGTAAGGATTAAAAGAAACAAGGGAGACACCCCTATTGAATCACAAGATTCAGAGTGAATGCCTTTGCCAAACTGAGCCTTGGACTTGATCAAAAGTTTAGGCCTAAAGGTTTTAACATCACTTAAACTTAACAGTACTCAACAGCACCCAGTCAATGGCCTGACTTAAATAATTTGTTAGAAGAGTCAATAGAATTTACTGCAAGCACAACAGTAACTAACTTACACGTCTAGCTTACAAATCTGAAGTACCTAAGCAACTAAGAAGGCAACATTCACAGCACATTTGCTATAACATATTACACCTGTAGGCACACAGACGCAGAGGAGGATGTACAAGGTATATACCTGTGGAAAACTGCCCCCAAGTTCAGTGAAGTACTCACAGAAATGCCTTTGTGCCTCCTGCTGGGTTGTATTTTTAAGTTAGTTTTTCGCCAATGGTTTGCTCCTATTTCCCTATTTGTTAAAATGGTTCCTGTACTCCCTTTACTCCTATTGTCCCTTTGTGGGGCCATGCCCTGGTTACCACCCCTGTTACAGGGCTGTGTAAGAGCCTGCTCGGGGCTCTTTCAGGAGCTGTCCCTTTGACATAGGAGGCTTCTCGGAGCTCCCCAATAAATTCGGATTAACAACCCCTGCAAGAGACAACTCCACGCTTTTGTCTTTGCCGCCCAAAGTCTCCCTGGGGTTTGGGGGTTCCAAACCCAAAGCCGCCATCCTGACCTATGGAGGACTGGGAAGGTGGCAAGTGCTGTCCAAGGTGTCCACCTTAGCCAGGCAAGCCTTTCTCAGCGGGACAGACACCGTGGCAGCCTCCTGAATGGCTGAAGGGTTGAGCCCTGAGGATGGGGTCAGCGTTCTCTGAGATGCCTGAGTATCCTTCACTGGCTCCAAAAGGGGCCCACTCCCAGGGAGATTTCTGGTCACACCTACAGTGGCCCAGGGGAGTTCAAAGGGTCTCACTTGGCACCACTATTTTCAGGGTTGCAAGAAAACTTGATTTAGCCACAGTAATCTTCCACATCAAGGACAAGGCCTAATGAGCATTTCTGAAGTCAGTGCAGCTTGAGGAGGCAGCAGGATGTGCCACCACAAAGACAGGTTACATTCTGAAACTCAAAAAGTGTGGGAAAACAGCAGAGGTCCAACCCACTTTCTAAGAAACTTTGTAAATAGATTTAATGAAAACAAGGACTAGCAGTTACTCAGACAAATCTGCAGGTGGTAAAACATTGGAAATATCATTAATGGAAAATTATATTGGAATAAGATACTTAACCAGAGCAGCACCCCAGCCCTTAAAGACTGAGAGGAAAGTGGTGAGGATCCTACAAAGCAAAAAGAGAAAGGTGTGAACAGGTTATAGGGAATAGAGACTGTGAACAATTTTTTCTTATATCTTAATTTTTTTCCATGTTCATCTATTAGCCTGCCAATTAGTTCTTACTGTATGTTTTCTGCTGGCTAGCAGAATCAACCCAGTGGCAATTGTGCATGCTGCTATGATTCACGGGATTACAGATACTCATGTCTTCTAACACTTTGTATTTCACTGTTGTGAAGGACGGAAAAACCTGAAACCAATCAAAGAATGTTAAAAAGAAGACTGTAACCAAAACATGCTGCATATGGAAATTTATATTACACTATTAAAAAAAGCAAAAAGCAGAAATGTGCAATATATACTACAGAGTGATGCTCATCATAGAATAATTTTTCTGAAGTAGAAATGAGACCAACAGATAGTGTTGTTTGCTGTTACTACGAACATACACCAGTCATTTGCACTGGAGCTGAAGGAAAACTATTAGATCATGGTTCACACCCTACAGATGGAATAAACCATCTTCTGCTCATGAACTTCACAGATATTAAAAAGATGATATCATCTGAGATCCATCCTGAAAAGCTACCAATTACACAAAACACACCCTGAACTGACTTTAGGGTATCTGTTGAAAAAATGGAGAAAAAAAAGGCATTGCACTGGAAATGCCACATGGAAAGAGACAGTTGTGTTTCCATCTGCTTATAGCAGTTCTAGCAAATAACTTTTCTACATTAAATAATTGCACACATTAAAATAATCCTGAAATACCACTTTGTTTTTATTCTCCATTTAGAATAAACTATATATAAAGTCAGGCCTTTGTATGTTCTGTGAACAATTTCTCAAAAAAATAAATTAGAATATTCCCCTGTTAACCTATTCAACTTGGAAAAAGATGAAACAAAGAACTCACTCTCCAGGCAAAGCAGTTGAGTCTGCTTTGTACTTGTAAATACAACAGAAATAGAATAAGTTTAAAAGTTCACCTTTAAAAAGTTTATACAGACTGGCTACTTTGAAATTTCTCTGTGATCTGACCAAGCCAATTTCTAACTAATATATCAAATGTGACAGCTACAAACTTTTCAAGAACAGCTTAAGTTTCTCTGTTTTTTTTCTTTCATTATGGGTTGAAAGCACAAGATGATGCATCAAAAAGGCTAGGCTGATTTCAGAAGATCCCAAGATGCGGAATCCTCTGACGCCTCCCCCTCAGGGAAATCCCCAGGGCCTTGCCTTGGGAAACTATATCATAGAGTTTTCCCCACCTGAGAGGACTCAGCCCATGGTGCTGTGTAACACCACTGCCAATCCACATCATATTGCCTCCCCCATTGGCCAATTGACACTGCCCACCCCAATTATTCATCCCACATCCCCCCTACAGGCTGCTGTCCTTTTCCCTCAGGTTATTGGTCACTGACCCCATACATGGTTTTGTCTTTCGTCTCTAGTCCCTTTGGCGTGCTGGATGTAATAAACCCTTGCTGGAATATATCATACAAAAACCCTTCCTGTCTTTCCTCTGCTGACCTATCTGTGGCATGTGTGTGCACATGGACTTGAAATGGCTGTTCTTGTGGCCTTACTCTGAGTGGCTTCTGAAGGAGACATTTCAAAGAAGGTTGAAGCATTTCTATCACTCTGCCACGCTGCAACACCAAGATTGCCATCTCCCAAAATTCACAGATTCGTAGAATGGCTTGGGTTGGAAGGGACATAATGATCGTTCTGTTCCAACCCCCCTGCCATGTGCAGGGACACCTTCCTCTAGACCAGGCTGCTCACAGCCCCACCTAGCCTGGCCTTGAACACTGCCAGGGATGGGGCATCCACAGCTTCTCTGGATGACCTATTCCTTTGCCTCACCATCTTCACAGTAAAGAGTTTCTTTCTCATATCTGACCTAAAACCACACTCTCTCAGTTTGAAGCCATTCCCCCCTTGTCCTGTCACCACATGCACTTACAAAAAAGTAAGCTCCAGCAATCCTGTACTTTCAGGTACTGGGAGGTAGTGGTAGTATTCTCTCTGTCTACAACTGTTCCTATTATATCCATAAACTACTTCAGTTTTTTTTCCCTGCCATCAAGGATTTCCTCATGGAAGAAAAACAGAAGGGGAACTCTATGACTTGCCAGTCTCATCACTCCCAGTCATTCAAATCAGTGGCCAAACAAGCCCTTTCTTCAATTTAGCAAGTTACAATTGGCAGTACAAATTTGATCTGCAAAATTGCAGTAGTCCCCAGCCATATAATTAAAAAGCTCATAAATTTTCTCAAGCCAGAGTGGCCTTATGTACTTTGATACGGATTCTTATTTTAGAATTTTAACTAGCTCAAGACACATGGCAAAGAGAAGGCATTAGGAAAGAAACATACATTGTGAACTCCAGGAAGGGTTAAAACTTTCCCGTAAGTGCTAGAACTTAGCAGAAGACATAGAAAAACAATGACTGGGTAAAACTCACATTTTGACATGAAAGTTACTGCTTTTCACAGATATTCTGGCACTAAGGTGACATCAGAATTACCTTAAACAAACACAAGCATGACAAACACTAAGACCTTCACTGGCCAGTGCAGCTACAGATCCAGATAGCACTGAACCCAGCTGACTGAGCTTTTCAGAGTTGAATGACAATCCTTAGATCCACATCCTTCCTACATAAGGTGAAAAGTAATTGAGGGGAAGCAGAGGAAATCATGGGACTTGCCCTGTACAGGAAACTCATGGCCTAGGTCAGAAGTTATCTGGGACCTCAGCTTGTCACTGCTGTCCCACAATACACAAAGTCTGTATTTTCCTAAGCATGTCCTTGCCATTATCCTGGCTCTTTGGAGATGGGTCTCTTGTCCCTCATATACTGGATTTCCAGCAGTGCCCTTGGCCAGAGAGAGAGCCTCATTGATAGTGCACTTAATCTGCTACTGGCTCCAAGGAATTTGTCCCTTAGTTTGTTTTTTTAAATTTCTTTACTGCAAGATGACATCATTTGAGCCAGGAATGGAAATCAGTCTATTTGTATACACAGCCTGAGCATGAAGAAGCAATTACAATGCCTTTTGGAATGGGTGTGGGGACTCACCACGTTTCAGACATGAGAAATGTCTTGCTCAGCCCTTGCAACAGCTGGTGCACTTGAAGAGAGAGGCTTAAGTACATTAGTGACTTTAACTTCCCAAAATTACAGCATCATCCAGCTGGCAATCACCACTGGAGAGGGCCCAGGACACTTGCTGTCCCAAAGCAGGGTCAGTTAAAGCTGTTCCTCTATAGAAAAACACTCCACAGGTGCATTGCCAATCAATTCCACTGCTTGATCACCTACTCAATAAAAACCTTCCTTCTGTTTTTTGTGGAACTGCCTGCATTTCAATGTGACCCCACAGACTCTTTTTCTCTACCACTGGGCCCCACTGAGAACAGCTGGCTTCATCTTCACTCCGCCACTAGTAGTTAAAGACATGGATAGGATGCCCCTGAGTCAGTAATAACGCTGCTTCTTGCTGAAATGACTGTACATTCAGCAGCTCAGATAGGCTTTGAGGTATCTGGCTTCCAAGATAGGCCCATAACTTTGATCACCATCAGTGTATCCAGTGTTGTTAGCCTGTTTCTGAATGAAGAGTAGGATATACTCCACAAACTTCACAAGTAAATCGGTGTTGAAATAAGATAGTTTGTATTGTTGACACAGCATACATTATAAAATTACTTGATACAAGAACAGAAGACATCCATCATTTTATTGCCTTGTCAGACATAAAAATTTATTTATGCTATTTGTCATGTGTTTTAATTTACACAAAAGACAAACACTTTTAACTTCAGGTCCAATTGCTCATCAGTAAGGCCTACATCAGAATACCCTTGACACTTCCAAGGACAATTTTTACAAGACGCTTAGAACAGCAGAATATCATAAATAATGGCCAACTTCACAAGCCGGAGGATCACTACCTCATCACTACTTCTCTGCTGAGCAGAGAATAGAGGAAGCCTTAAAGCCATTTTAATCCCCAAACACTATCACTACTGCACTCAGAGCATTTACATGACTGCCCTGCATTAATAACACCAAACATTACAGTTAGTCATAAAGATTTATCACAGCTTCCCCTAACAAAATTACTTCTCTTTTAAACATAACAAGAGAACTGCAAAATACACAATCATCCATTTGGCTTGCTTTTACAATAAAAATAGTATTGGTCATCTATTTGTTAACTTCAACTCTTGTATCATACTCCTTACCTCCTCCTTTCTCACTTAGGAAACTACACTAGACCAGGCAGTTTAATTGTAGCACTGAGGTAGCATATTTTAATTGAACAGAGTAATATGTTTGATATTGTGCATCTTCTCCTTTAAAGCACAAAAAAAAAAAAAAAATCCCCACAGTTTTTCAACATCTTTGGAGAAGACAGGCATATAGTTCATTTCCAACAGCCACTCTATTTTGAATTCAAAGCACAAATCATCTATGAATGGTAGATACATTATACCAACTCGAATGAGTGAGAACATGTACAAGAAGAAGGAAATATGTCATTTTTATCAGAACTAGGGTCACACTTTAGCCCTATGGCACCTATTGCTGCCTATTGTGAAATGCATCTTTACTGTCACTGAAATTTAATTTCAAAAATGAGGATCCTGTAAAAGGACAGCTGTGCCACTGTTCTAAATGATTTTCACACTACTGGCAGAGCCAAATAATTGCAACAATACCAGATTAAATCAACAGACCTAATATAAAGTCAATAGGAATTAACAACATGAGTATACTAGAAGAATCAAAGTTAAGGTAGAAGGTATGACTTAATGAACTGAGAGAACTTTCCATTCACTTAGAAGTTAAAGCTGAGATAGCCTTAAAAATAGTTAAAGAAAAACCAACACCAAAAACCAACCAAACAAAAACAACCCAACAGACAACAAAACAAACCCCCAAAACACCAAAAAAATAACAAAATCAAAACAAAACAAAAAAATCCACCACTGCAAGAGTAGAAGCTTCATTTCCTAACAAATTGAGAGTAACAGTATCTCTCTCAGCTTTGCCCTTCTTACTAAAAGCTTTAAAAGACTAAGCTAAAGTCAAGCTGTACTCAAGACTGCAGCCTTAACTTCTAGACTGTTTATTAAAGTAACTCTTACAGACATACCTTCGTATTTAGAGAGAATAATAAACAGTGATCCTAAAGAACAGGAGTAATTTCCTGCTCTGTGTGCCACACTTGTACACAAAGCCTTGTAAAACTGCAGAATGGTACACAATCCTCACCCAGGCTCAGGCTGGATCTTTGAATTCCTCCCTCCATCTTTCATACAGGAAAGCAAAAATCTTTACTGCAGTTAAAAATCCCTTGAGTCAGCCACATGCATAAAGGAAACTGGGTTTTAACACATTGGAAAGCAGACAGAATGTAACTGAGCTGACAGATAAACTGCCATGGAAACACCTAAAGAGCTGAGGGAAAAATGCTTAAGTTATAATGACCAGTTCAAGCTGTTTATGAAGGCATTTATGTTAATCTTTCAAGTAACCCAAAATGTACTCCAACACCTGTTACTAAAAACTTAAGGCTTTTATGAATACCCTCTTGCATACAAAAGGAGTATTAAACAGAAGGAACTTGTTTACAGTAAATACAAACATCTGAAAAATCTCTGAAACCTGTTTATACAAATACTAATAAATTCTTCAATATTTTGTACAACTAGAAGGTGCACAGATTGGCATTCAAGCAGTCAATGCTGGCAAACATCTGTCAGACAACAACATGATTTACTTGGATAACAATATAGTTTAAAATGCCATAAATTAAAAATAAGTTAGTTCACATTTTTCCCCCAGATTTTATGTACATCTTAGTCTTTAATGAGATCGTGCAGCCTTCTTCAGAAGCTCAAGGTCTTTCTGACGGCTTTTAATTGCTCTGGCACAGCCATACTCTTCCAGTTGCAGAGGGATATACTTTTCTATCTGAACGAGCCCATGCCCAGCAGGACTGGTAAACAGCTTAATCCAGGATGGCTTAATGTTTCCTCTGAAGCCCAGAAAGGCCAAGCTTCCTGTGACAGAAAAAGCTCAGCATTATCAAACCAGCCAAGCTCACTGCAGCATGATACAGGACTGGTTAGGTAGAAAAAGGCACGCCCCCACAAAATTCCTTCCCCCCCATTATTTAGGACATTTATCCACTCTAACCTTTACATGAGAGTTACCTTTACATTATTACCTTACAAAGAAATAATGATTTGCAATTTCCTGTCTCAATACTTAGTATTAAATACTCTGAGATCTTAATTTGAAAATGCAGCTAATTGGACAGTTATAAAACCCGTTTTCTCAACCACTTGCCAACTTGTGGCATCACTCTGAACAGATGAGAGCTATCCCATGTGGCCTATAAACTCATCATCCCGCAAAATACCAATAGCTTCTCATTTCTAGCTTCAAATTATTTTAGAATAGGAAATACTAGGCAGGCACAGGAGATTGCTTAAAGATACATTTGCTGGGCGAGGCACAAAATGCAGGCTCTAGGAAAAAAGCCTGGGACTCTTGCGTGATCCACCAGCACAAAGAACTGCTAGTTACTTCTCTGCTTGCAACAAGCTTCACACAATGGGATAAAGGGGTTTTCTGCCCCACCTGCTAAAGGGCTGCCCACCTCCTCTCTCAACAAGAGCTGACACACAGCAGCCACACCAGTGCAAACTGGTAACTACCCTCCACCAGCTGCACCTTTCTCACACACCCCACAAGAAACCCACCACACCAACAAACACAAAGACCAAGGTGGTGTCAAAGAAATGTGCAACATTTCTACCAACCGTTGCTCTGAAGATAAGGTGGTTTTGCTGTCCCCAGGGACATTAAGGCTTCAGCTAAATTATTAGGAATTGCTACATCACCTCTTGTGCTCAGGAGAACTATAGACCTGCAACAGGAACAGCATGACACAGCAGCTATTATAAACACATTTTTTAAATATTCTGCTACACAGCTTTCAAGCTAGCTACCCTCAGTGTCCAATTCCTTATGAGTACTTATGACATGGAAATAGTCAACCCTTCCTGAAAGCAGTACTTAGAATTTCTTGGTTTTAAACTGACTTTTAATTTAACTTCAAAATCATTGGCAAGTGGTATTTAAACACAGTTTGGTATTTTGTATCAAAAAATCAAGTTTGGATATAGATCCAAAATTAGAAAATTAAAATATTTTCTGACACTAACTTTTTATCTTTATTTAGCCATAATTTTCTCCATATAGGTAGAGAACAGTATGACATCTTTCACATAGTCCTTGCCACTGTCCTTATTAAACAAAAAGTTATCCTTGTTTTAAGCAAAGCAGTGTTATTACATGATGTTTCATTAAACAAAAATATTTTTGAGGAAAAAGGCAACACCAGAAAAATCTGAAATGCTCAAAATCTGCTTAGTTTTCTTCAGTAAGGCTACATTGTCCAGTAAATGGCTCCTCTGTTTTCCCTTTTGCCTGAACTTAGACATATGTTTTGTTCACTTTCAGTGCTCATGTACCATTATTTATTAATCATTATTTAAGTCCTTGTCAGAGAGCAGAGCTACAGATTGCAGGACATACTGAAAACGACTGGTCATTGCACATACCTTTGTGGAATTCCAGATTTTAAATATCCATCTACACGCCTAATGTCTACTCCAGAAAATAATTTGTTTCCCAAAACTGTGCCAGTGCAGGCATCTACAACAACAATAAGTATTCCATTATCCTTGAAGGAAAATATGGTGTTATTAACCTGAATGGGAAGAAAAAGAGAGAAAAGGAAGTTAATATGACTCAAACAGCAATTCTACTGCTCTCAGTTTTATCAATCTTACTCTAGTTTAGACACAGTAATTTCCTTACAAATACTTGCTTCTCCCTTGCAACTCTTCAGTTTTTCCTTTGAAAGGATGCCGCTTAATGTGACTTCTGAAATTGTATAGGAGTCTTAAGCCTTTAGCTTCTATAGGAATATTGCACATTCCAGGTGATTTACTACCTGCCTTGGGAAGCTAAAATTCAGATACTGAATCCCCTGGACTTCTGTACAGTAAAACAGTTAACTGATCCCTGCAGCAGGTTGGCTCCAGCCCAGTTTCTTCCTACTGAGAACTCTTACTGCTTTGGATATGGCATACATATTCCTGAAGTTTGCAGCTGCAAAGGTTAAGCTGCTCATGTGCTATTTGTCTACCTAAACAACTGACAGCTCAGCCAGGCGAACAATGACACTGCAGAATGTAAGGCATGTGTGGACGAAGTGGTATTTCACCTTCATGTGCAAGTCTACTTCAGCATGTGAATGGAAAAGTCAAACTAAACTACTTTTTACACAGTATCACATCACTGGGCTTATCTGGGCCACACCAGAACAAATACAGAAATCTAACTCCTTAGCACTTGCCATTTAGAGGACTTCAGCACAGCTTAATGGCTCATGTGACCCATCTCAGTAAGTACTAATCTCCTTGCACAAGGACAATTTCAACAAAATGGATTTAACTAACAAATTGTTAGTTTATGTTTTCTGTTTATTTCCAAAACAGCCATAAATGCATACCCACAGAGATTTAAACATAAGCTGAACATTTTAAATGCTAACAGCAACATTTTTCTCTTCAGCAAATAGGATTCAAATATTAAATGAAGCTTTGAAGACTCCTTTTCTAATGTTTAAACATAAGCTTTTTGAGTTTATTTTTTAAACAATTAACTAATCTTTTCATTCCAGTGAAGAAAACTGAGGTCTGCATTATGTAGAGCTGTACAACGGCTATAATACAAACTGCTATAGTGATATTTAAGAAGAAAAACATGAAGAATACTTACATATATAAATGCTTGCTGACCTTTGCTTGACTCTTTTTCATCAGATGAATTAACCTGCACAAGGAGGTAGTTTCTGTGAGGGTCACTCGTGAATACCATCTGGATATCAAACAAAACACATATTAATGTTTCTTCAACACTTTATCATGTCAGCTTAAAACAGACAGCCCATGCTCCAATGTAAATGTATTCACTTGTCAGCAGCCTTATTTATAGTACTAGTAATCCTAATAAATATAATAATACATAGTGTAACCTATTTTATCTCTTAATTTCAGTATTTTTCTCAGCTTGTATAGCTGAGACAATTTCAAGTTCATGCTAATAAGCTAACATCCAAACAGAGAGGTTTGACATGTTGATCTCTGCCATGTAGCATAGACAACACTGCAGTGCAAGACATCAATCCACCGATGTCCCTTTTCTGTAGCACTTGGAACAAGAGTTGCACAACAGAAGAAGAAAAAAAAACCAAAACCCTGAAATCTTTGTGCTACAGAAAGTACTCCAAACTTTCAAGGAGTCCAAGAAGATTAACAAGCTGTAATTTGGTAAGTGCAGTATTCTGTGCTGAATTGGACTTAAATTGAGTAGACAGCATCACCAATTCTACAGTTCATGAAAGTTTTTGTTTATTTTATTTTACCTGAGTTGTGCCACATTTTGTACATGGTACAGTAGTTTTTCCTGGCATCTGCTTTATGATGGTTGGTACTTGATAGTACTTTGGGTAAGCTTTTGCCATGCAATTACATATCCCTTTTGATGAATCTTTGGTCACAATCTTGATTCTTTCGCATCCCTGAGATGAGCAATAACTGTGACCATCCCTATTATATTTGGCTTGAAGAAATAAAAACAGTAATCTACACAAAAAGGGGAAAAATAATCTAAATTAACTAGTGAAATACAGGTATTTATATTCAATCTCAACAGCTATATTTAATGATTTTCAGAAGCAGACAAACTACGGTATTCCCTTCTGCACAACTATCCAAAGGTTTCAAGGTATTTACTAGAGTTAGGAAATCCCTAGCAACTTACCTAAAATTCCATGTAGTTAAAGGAGACATCAATATAAATGTAGATACTTTGCAAAGAAAAAAAAGCCCTCCGATCAGTGGCTTGCATGAAACAAAAATTGAATTGCAGAGCATGAATTTTTTTCCTTGCTCATACATCTTTGCAGACATGCAGCAGAAATATTCAGTTTCACCCATCAACACTGAACAATAATAGTTGTGCTACTTCAAATGCCTGGAAAGGCAATTTAGGGTGTAAAGCTCTTACACAAAGCAACATAAATGCCTTTCAAAAACTACATTAATTTGTGTATTTATTACAGACAGGCATAGTATCAGGTAATGGAACAAAATAAATAAGAGAACAAATTATAAATTTAGAATCAATATTTGTAAAACTCACAACTGATATACATAGGACTTCATTTATTGGAAGTTGACCATATCTAAAACCTCTCAGAAGGATCATGGAGGCCTCTGTGAGAAGTACTTTTGAAAGAGAGACTAGGACTTTTAAGTTCTTTTGAGACAGCTGAAAAGAGATTAGGATTTTCAAAAATATAATTTTTAAATGTTGGAAGAGAAAGTTTCTTGGAAATTTATAGAATTTTCTGTTTAACAAGAAAACAGATAGTTTCTCTGAAGACTAAGAAATTAAATCCTAAAAGGCACTGGTCTACAGCACACCAGATACTATATTTTCCACAGACATGGGGTAGGAAATATCTTTGGTGACTGTGGTGTTCATGACAAGTATTTCCATGACAACCATGGTAGTTTGGAGATTTAAAGACAGATGAACATTCTTTGAATGGTTTTGGGGTCTTTCTCAACTGCTTTCCTCTCTGCAGGTGCCTCAACCATTTGTTTTTAACACTTTCAAGTGGAACATTTCTAGGTTAAACAACATCTTCTAGTAAAGACAAATGACAAGAGTTACCCAGTACTGTTGTCAAAGTAAAACTTCTTGTCTGATCGATTCTTTTCAAGCTCCATCATTGAAGATACAGGCATGTAGCGTTCCACCTTGCTTGACAGGGCAGATGACCGCCTTTGAAAAGTTTCCAATACTATAAGAAAATCTGTCTTTTGTTGGTAACAAAGACCGACACGAACCCAGTCATTCCTAAAACCAAAATAAAACGTATGAGTCCTCATTGGAACAGTTTAGGGGCCAATACAGAGCAAAGAGATCATTACAAAAAAAACAGAAACAGGAACACAAAAAGCTCCTAAACCCTCAACCAGATGATCAAATCTGCACAGCCTTTCATTAAACATTTTAGTAACTCTGATTCTCTTAGGATATATTTGATTATATAATTCAGAGATATTTAGTAAGTTCATCTGCCAACAAAAATCAAGTATGTTAAGCTATTCAACTGCAATTCTGCTGAATTTCACAATTGGTACATCATATCCTCCAAGGGTTTTTTCTTAAAGACACTGTACTGAACAAGTGTTTAACTTCACGTGCAGATCTGTTGTTTAATCCCATACTTTTGTATTTGTAACTATGAAAGAAAAACCAAACCCAAGCTCTGGTCTTCCAGATGGTTGCAAACTCATGCACAATAATTTTGCAGGACAGAACTTCTGTATTGCCTTATGGATCAAAGCCACAAAAAAAGCAAATAAACATACTTGCTGAAGTTAATGAGATACAGATAGGTGACATTTGGAGCTTTTCCATTCCAGTGTATTGTATAGCCCTTTTGGAGCATCACGACTGGCTGGTACTGCTGAAAGGCAGCTGCTCTCTGATTAATACCTCGAAGAACCATGGGATTGGCTGGATACTCATCTCGGACAATAGTCATGGAGAGATTCTGTCCATTCCAGGTTTGAACATAAACCTATATGATATTTAAGAGGGTAAAAATTTGGTCTCTTTGCAAAAGAAAATGAAATAGTGAAGCACGATCAGGACATTATTAACCAAAATGCTGCAATCTGATGTTCTGAGTTATGTAATACACAAATTTCCCCTGAATAAAAGTCCTATTTAAAGAACTATTATAGACTTTTCCCATATTACAGGCAAAAAAGCATATGGAGAAAAAAAAATCAGCTATAACACCTGGCTACACAGAGCAGGAACCAGAATGGGAATCAAACCTGTAAGACTTGTATTCAGAAGGTGGTATTTAACATCTCCAGAAAATAAACTAACACAACAACTCCTTAAAATCCAGTCTGTGAAAAAAAAAAAAAAAAGCAGACAGAACCTGCTTAGAAGAAGACACCTTAAACATAAAACTGTTTCAGCAGACACAGCTGTAACATAGAATTCTGGGCAAAACCATTTTATTTTATCTTGCAGCATCTGATACTGTACCCTCAGTCTGCTGAGAGGAAGCATGATATTGCCACAACTGGCCAGTAAGTTTGATATGAATAGAAGTATTTTTAGAAGTAAAAAAATTTTGAAATCCAAAGACAGGTCATTTTGTATTTCTTACACAACCTAACTCCACAAATATTTCATATTATAGATTTGTCCCAAACAGCAAGCCAAAAGTACTAGCCTGTGCATAGTTCCCACTGCAAACCACTCCACTCCATTCTGTGATGTTAATGCATTTGGGGTGTTGAATCAAGTAATTATCCATTCGGCCCACATAGGTATCCCTGTAGTCAGTCACTGAGCCATCTAGATCATGAAATATTGAGTTCTTATCACCATCCAGATCTCCTTCTTCAAACCAGGGACCAGGCTTCCCAAAGAAGGCTTTCAAAGAAACCTGACAACAACAATAAATGTTTTTGTTCTTCCTGAGGTGAAACACAGACTAACATTTGCACATGTGCAGAAAGACAGGAATTTGACAAAGTTGATTAAAAAATTTATAGTAAGGATAGCAGAATCTTGCGAAGCGGACATGCTGGGTTTTACAAACAGGCTCAGGTGAGCTCTTGCCTCTGAACAGTGTTAATATTTGCTGCAGAAAATTCGTTACTAAGTATATACCAAACCTTACAAAATCTTAACAAAAATTTCTTTTCAGCTTTACCACAAGCCATGAATCATTTAGTGTAACATATCCTACATCTCTGCTGGTATTGGATATTTTGGTCAGGAGACAAAGGAGGTCTGTGTGACCTCCAGCCAGGAGAAAAACTCTGAAGTAGGTATGTGTAGATAGGATGACTTACAGCTCTTGTCTGTGTATGTTAAATACAAGAAAAGAAAACCATTCGCAAGACTTCAGGAAAACTTGTAGTAAACTTACGTTTGGACCAAACTTCACAAAAGAAATGTTATTTTTTGGAGTCATCTGCCATGGATTTTTCATCAAGAATCCAACTGCACTGGTAAATCTGTCTGGAGTTGGTACAAAGTTTTTAAATGTGCACTTGGTAAGGTGAATAGGTCCATCATAAATCTGAAAGCCTCTGATTGGAAATGTCCTGTTGATGCAAGCAAATATTTATACCATCCTGTAACAAAATTCATGGTATGCTTGAATCTGTGTCAAATGTATCTCCTCTCAGAAATCAGTAAAGCAGCAATTACAGAATGACTTGCAAGACAGAATTTAGCAAAGGAAATAAGGTTTCTCCCCTTTTCTAATGAGTCAAAAAATCCCCTACTCTTAAATTTTCCTGTTAGTGGAGCTATCACTCTCCATGTACAAATGTGCCCCTCTTTCAATATAAGAAATACAGCAGAAAAAAAATACCACCTGCTCTTTGATTGATCATGGCAACTGGAAGTGACTGCAGACTGAAGGAAAGCAAATGTCACTTCTAACTTGAGGAAGGAACACCCAGAGAAAGGCAGGCTGGTAAGGCTTATCTTGACCCCCAGGAAGATGATGGAGCAGCTAATCCTAGAAACCATTTTGACATGCCTGAAGGACTGGAGAGTTGTCAGGAATAACCAGCATAAATTCACCAAGGAGACGCTGATAAACTTCTGTGACGAAATGACTGGCCTGGTAGAGCAGTGGGAGAGCAGTGGACATGGTCTACCAAAATTGTAGTTAGACTTTTGACACTGCATCCCACAAGATCCTTATGAAGTATGGGCAGGATGAGAGGACAAATGGCTGGGCCCAGAAAGTGATGGCATAAAATCTGCTTGGTGACCAATAATGATGTACCCCAGGGGTCAATACTGAGTCCAGTCTTGTTCATTTTCATTACTGATCTGGATGATTAGGCCCAGTATAGTCTATAGGCCAAGCCTGCAGAGGGCACAACCGACAGTAAAGCAGCTGGTGCAGCAGAGTTGTGATACCACCCAGACAGACCCTGACAGACTGGACAAATGGGTGGATGGGAATCTCATGAAGTTTAACATGGGGAAATGCAAGGTCCTGCACATTGGGAGCAACAACCCTTTGTGCCAGTGAAAAGGACCTATGGGTCCTAGAGGAAGCCAAATTAACCTTATGCCAAACAATGTGCCTTTGCCATTGTTTTCAGGACTGTTGAAGTGACAATTTGGAATGCTTGCTCCCAGTGCAAGGCAGATATGGAGATACTCGAAAGTGCAGCAAAGGGCCACAATGATTAAGTCGCTGGAGCATCTCTCATGGGAAGTAACACTGGGAGACATGGTCAGCCTGGAGCAGAAAAGCCTCAGGCAGGAATCTCAATCCTCTGAAGGGAGGGTGCAAAAAAGATGAAGCCGGGCTATTCCCAATGACAAGACCAGGAGGAATGTGCACAAGATGAAACTTAAGACATCCCTCCTAAACCACAGGAGAAACTTCACAGAGAGAGTGACTGACCACTGGCACATGTTGCCCAGGAAAATTATGAAGAATCCACCCTTGGAGATATAGTAAAGACACCTGAATGTTGTCCTGGAACACGATCTCTGGATGACTGTTCTTGAGCAGGGGAGTTGGACAAGATGACCTCCAGAGGCCCCTTCCAGCCTCAGTTGTTAGGTGATTCCACTGAACAAGACTGAATACTTCATATCACCACCACATTAACATCTCCTCTTTAAATGTCAAAACCAGCAAAAAACTAGGGTGGCCAGGGCCCATTTCACCCTTTGTCCTACTTAGCCAAGGATGTGTGGGGACAGAACCTGGAGCCACGTGGGCATGGCCAACACATTGTGTTACTTGATACCATCTTACATCATGGCTAGGAAGCAGGGGAACAGACTCTTTTGTTTTCTAAAGGAAAAGTGCTCCTTTTTCTGGGGAAGCAGTGGGGTAACACTGGTCCTGACCAGAGGATTTGTCCGCCAGGAGAATACTTTGTGGTGCTGATGGTCCCTTGGCCATCTTGTTCTTCATCTCGAGTGCTACCCAGTCCCAGGTTGAGAGGTGAGCATTTTTTTTTGCACATTATTCACCTTTGTTTTATATACTTTTGTTATTAATATTGTCACTATTACTGTTAACATTCTTAATCTCATTGTTTCCAGTACACTGCTTTTGTCTCAGCTTGAGATCTCTGTCTTTTGTCTTTCTCCCCTGAGGAGGTGGGGAAAGGGCAGTGGCTATACGGGGCTCAGTTTCTAGCTGGAGTTAAACCAAAATAGTTGTCTTTCTTATTCTGCGGCAAGGGTGGGACTTGGTATTATGTTAAACAAGCACCAGTGCAAGTCAAAGAGAGAAGAGAAGGATCACAGCCACAGATTGTGATTTGTCACAGACAAGACTGCAGTCTCCAGTCCCAAACTGACCTCTGAAATTCTCTTACCTGAAAGCTCTCTTCTAAACCCAAATAATTTTTAAGTATAAGGTTTGATTTAAGTAGGGTAACTTAAATTTCTACAGAATAGTAACCTGTTGGAAGCATCAGATAAACCTGCTTCAGCAAAAACATGAGAGCGACATAGCTGCACACATAGAATTAAAAAGAAAGCATCACTTTCAATGGAGTCTTAATCTCTGACAGTTCAACCATTAGAAGGGTCTTTATATCTGATACAGAGAATTTTTCTTATATTTCTACTTCCTTCATTCATTACATACTTACCGATTTCTAGGCAGAGTGCGTGTCTTGTTGTCTATTCCTCCAGTGCCCACATATTTATTTTGTCCACCTTGAAACCCATAATTCTTGCTCTCACCTATGAACAGCGACTCTGATACCTCCTGGCTGGCACCTTCATCATTTGGGAAGCTTCCATCACTATCAAAGCACATCAAAGACATGTCTATAGCCAAATACTCTCCAGCAGATGATTGTACCAAGGCATAGCACTACTTTTACTTCTCTAACAGCCCTCCTCAAGTAAAACACTACAGACTTCATGGACAATACAGAAAACAATGGATTTAATAATTAACATTAATAGAGGCTAACTTACTGAAATGTTCACCAGAGGCAAACATTAAAATTTCTAACTCCCTTTGTAGTGGAGCACCTTTTTATTTACAGCCCACTTTTCTAATCCTAGAACCAGTTTGTCATAATCTGAATAGCAGTAATTTCAGCTCATTGCCTAAGTTAGTTGGTATTTTTCATTAGAAAGAGACTCTACCCCTGCTAAATGCTCATCCCTTTCTTTCACTTCCAGCTATTCAGGAAGAAATTAAAATACTGCCTAAGGAATCACACACTACCAAAATTACCTGAATAAATATAACCTTTCTGATAAAGAGGCAACAAACTGTGGTGTAAACCAAGCACAGGCTGAACTAAAGTGGAAACTTTAGCAGCTGTGCCAATTTACAGCCTCTATAACGTCATCTGCATTACTGGAAATACAACCAGGCCCCAAACCAAAACTGCAGCTTTATAAAAGCATACCTATTAATTTTAATAGATGCATGTAGATTTTCTAAGCTTCTATGCAAGGAAACGCAGAAATTATTAAAAAAAGTACTCACCTAGCAAATGTCAAACCTATTCCATTGTCTGCAAACCTACAAGAAAGTTCAAAACATCAGTTGTTTTTTCTGAATTATCCTACAATTGTACGACAATGTAAGAGCACATCCTGCTATGCACTGAAAAAAGCTTGAATTTTTCTATTAATAGAACATATAACCACCACACAGTTAACTTCTCTAGGAGCACCGTTATTAAAAAGTTCTTAAAAAGTGTTAAAAAGTAAAATAGTTTTCTACACATTTTAAACAGCACTTGAGAGCTTCAGGGAGACAACAGAAATCCCATGCTGAATTTACCGTCTCTACCAACTCTTAGGTTTCTTTTTACTACAGCTGTTTTTTTGCTGTTTAAGGCAGCTTTTCATCTAATCACATATAAACTTGCATATTTGAAGTTGTGGGATGGTATGAAAGCTGGTCATAGTGAGAAGTTCCTACAGCTAACCATCAATCCTCTCCCATAACCCTGTTGTAATGCACTGTGCTAAACAAAGCTTCAGAAAAAACAGCATGCAGCTGTTTGCTTCCAAATACCTACCCAGAGTTCTGAATGAGGATATCTCCTCCCCTGACCCAGGCTCCATGATCATTGTTTTTGAAAGAGATTAGTCTGTCAATCAGGGCAGCAACTCGGGGCTTTTCAGGGTCTGCATCTTGATGAGGTCGAAACCTGGGAGAGATAAACACTCAGTACAAGAAAACTTTCTTTTATATGTGCCATACAAGTTGCACTGAGTAAACCTGAAAGACAAATAATTATCTGACGGGCAAATTTCACTCTTAATGTTTGGAATGAAATAAGCTAAAAGCAGGTACATCTCTGGTTCTCACTAGTACCAGAAAAGCATCTGTGGGGTATCAAGAAGCAGGAATGTGAAACATCTCTTTTGCAGTAACTCTCACAGGCTCTTGGTCAGTATCACTAAGTTTCTTTAGCTGCCTTTAGCCTCCCTTTGTCCCCTTTTTCTTTCTGCCCTCCCCACTTGTAGTGAAGCATTAATGTCAAAGTTTGATGAGGGGAATTATAAGCTCCTAGGAAGGACATACAGGGCTGACATAAGCTATGTAAGAACAGTCTGGACATTTGTCTAACTGGTCCTTCAAATGCTTCAAGCTTTTCTGACATATAGCAGTACTGCTTCTTTGGGCATGCCTGAGATCTTTTTATTGCATTGCTACCAAGATGGTCTTGTACAGTAAATTATGACTGGAATCTGGTTTAAATAGTAGGAAGAAACAGTCTGATTAAGAACTGGTGACATTTTTGCTTGATTACCCCCAGGACCCCACATAAAAAGTAATATATTTAAAAAGACTACAAACAGGCATTTTGAGCAGGTAAAGACACCTATCCTGTTATCCCAATCACCTGATACTCTTTTGCTCAGATTTGGATCTGTCCCCATCCAAGGAAGGGAGGGGATGATAAATAAACGTCAGGTTTTGATAGTCCCCGTATTCTCAATTAACATTTAAATCCTTCCAGTCTGGTTCCATGTACAATGATTAGGGACCTCACATAGTTTTGCAGTGCCTTATTCCTTTTCTTTTTCCTGTGAAACACAAGCCCATTTCATGCACTGAGTTTCTTGCATCCTCAACACACTAAAGGCTCTTAGAGGGCATCCTGCGCCTCTCAGGTTCCTCTCAATTACCTGTTATGACTGAGGTAAACCACAAGGGTTATATGGATTTTCTGTGAAAACATGGAACTAGCAGGTTCATTTTCAAATGCTGAAGTATTGACTATCATCAAAATTTGGAACTTTCCTCTTTGCATTTGCAGCAGTCATTTAACTATCCTTGTCTTAAACACAGTTCAATTGACAATAAAGAATCTATGAACCATATTTTCAGTGCTAATACTTAGTTAACACAATAACATGTTGACAGATACAGTTATCCAATATTCATTTAACCGGTATCCCAGGCTACTTTATTTGAAGTTCAGGATAAGACTAATCAGGCACAGTATAACCTGTAATTTTCCTAGACTCTCCACTACCTTCTCTCACTTGTAAACTGAAGAAAATGTGGTGGATTGTACCACCTCTGCAAAGAGCCTTCAGTAGAACTGTACTATCAAGCTATGACTTCCAAGACTAGAAGGAACAGCAGAAACATTCAGCAGTAGGAAAGGTGAGTGGATGCACTACTGAAGCCTGTTTCTAACATTAGTTAAAACTCAGTTATAAATCAGAAGAAAAGACTTTGAAGGAGTATTTTCCTATTAGCAGCAATTCCAGAAAACATTTTAACAGTAGACAGTAGAGCATGTTTAAAACAATGTCCTCTAAGAGGACAGAAACTATCCTGAGGAAAAACTCACAAGAAACCCATATCCTTTCAGAGACACCATCTCTGTTGTTCCCAAAACAGATTAATAAATGAAGGAAAAGGACACATACTAACTTACTGCTCAGTTATAATTTATAAATTATTTTATTATTTGAAAAGGGTTTTCTCCTATGTGAATGTAAGAGCAGTCTCAAAACTTTGCCATTTTTCACCCACTTGAAAGAAAATATCCTTTACCTTGCATTGTTGTCCAAACAAAGATATTCTCTGGGATCATCTGCACTAGCATTAGTTGTCTTAACACCCTTATCAATGAACAAACCAGCCTGAAATAAGCAAGGAAAGAAAATTCATAATATCCAAAATTAAAGATAGAGTAAAAATGAAATTTAAAAAATTTAGGCATTGCATTCAATACACATATTAGAAACTCTTAGATCTTTCAGTTTGGCTTCAATTGGTATATTGTCTAAGGGAAAGTCAGTGAATTAAATATAATAAACCAGTCTGTGCTAAAATTATATGAATTATCTGTAACTAAAAAAAAATACAATGGAAAATGATCAAAGTTCACTCCAGATTTCTTTCACAACATCTATTTGAGGTTTTGCATTTATTACCAGATGCTGTTCTGGAAAATCTAGAAGCCAATCTTGTGGTGAGTTCAAATTATTCTCATAAATGGAAAAGAAAAGAAACCCCAAAACCCATTGTGAAAAATCCTTTGTGTTTCACTTTAAAACTAAACTGCCTTTACCATAAAATATTATTTTGATCTATGCAGTAATAAGCTTGAAACTAAATAATCCAGTATGAAATAAATTACTTGAGAAAATAAAAGCACGAGGAAGCATTTGTGCTCTTTTACTTGAATTACATACAAATACCTGTGACTACTTTCACCTCTGATCCAAATTAAGATTACAATTGAGGCTGCTACACAAGCAGATTCTCAGACCTGCTAGTGGAGTTCTCCTTCAACATGGAACTTTAGCACACAAATTGCTACCCTTGTTCAAAGATGATAATAGCTGTACAGGTGAAAATCTTTTCTTCACAATGCATTTTTGTATTCAGTATGTTCTAATTCCAATCTGAATAAAATGCCCTACAGTCCCAAACACATTATTAACACAATTTTCATCAAACACTGCATCATTTCTTGGTATCCCAGACAACTGTAAGGCAAAATCAGTTTCACTTGGCAAAAAAAAAAAAAAAAAATCCAATAATGATTTATGAGGTTTCAATGGTTAAACTATGAGAATCTTCTGCAGCAAACAAACACAAATAAGTACTTACTTAGAGTTAGGTGGCTTTGTAAATGTCATTCTATTTATACATACACACAGCAACTAGATTCCAAATGAAATACTTTAAGGATTCCTCAGCTGAAGTGAAACTTCAGCTAAGAGTGGAAAAGGTTTAAAAGTCAAAGTAACAGAACACTCCTCAATGACCGTAGACTGAGAACTTAATAAGAAAACTATCTCAACTATGTAAGCTGCTGAAGGCAATATTAAAGCTTAATCCCTAGCCAGAGACTGTGTCACCATGTGCAAAGACCTGACACTCAGAAAAGAAATTGTAGCTACTGCAACAAATAATTGAATGACTGCTATAATAAACTTTGGTTCTTCAAGGGTCAGCTTTCTTTAGGGTAGGAAACAAAGCTGTAAAGAGTAGCATGTGAAATGCTACTTCTGAAAAAAGAATTTTCTAGAAGTATTAATTGATTTTAGTTGTTTGTGTCTTACAAGGCCCTGAAGCACTGAATATTCAAAATGCAACCAGAAAATACACCCATGCTGATTATACATTGTTCTACAGTAGAGCTCAAACACAGCATAAAATCTAATCTCCTACCCAGCTTATAATGCAAACAGACAAGCTACAATATAGAATACTGAGAAAATAAAACTTCACTGTTTTTTTAATAACATACTACATTACCTTAAAATTAGAATGAACCCTGTTGTTATAGAAGATTCCTAGGGGTGTAAGCTCTGATTTGGTTTCGATGGCTAGACTGTGAGAATCTCCTGTAGCAACCCTGTGGAACAAATACCATATTCCAGCATCCTGCAAGTAATGAGAGAATAATGTAAGTGATTCTGATACTATTATTGGTGCTGATACATATTTTCAAATAAAGACTCCAAACAAAAATTTAACCAGTGAAAATGTGTGATTTTGCAAATAAGGCTACATTCTAGTGGATAATATCAACTAAAAAGTCTTTTGCTTCTCAGTGAAGCCATTCAACATCACATATTTAAGATGTTCCAATATTTCAAAGTAAAAAAGAGTCCAAATAATTGTAACTTCTGCATCAGTTATGTCATCCCACACACTAGATTTTCCTTTACTAGTAGATAATACTATTCACAGTAAGATACACAAAATCATTCCTCCTATCCTTACTCTTCCAGTCTGTTAAGGTTGGTTCATCTCTGCTTCCATCAAAATTTAAAAGGCACAGCCAAAAAAGCCCTCAAGAGCTTTCAGCAGACAAAAAAAAAAAAAAAGCACATCAAGAAGTCTGGCCAGTTCGGGGCACTGTGCCAATGACATGCAGTAATAATTTTAGTATCTGTTCATTTTCTATACTCTTTAATATATCTGCTCTTAAAGAAGCTGGATTTATCTGCTAAATTAATCCTACAAAATTCCCCTTTCAACTACATCTGTGTTTGCAAGAGGTGGCATCATGACAACATCTGCACTGGAGACACCTACAGAGTTCAAAACTTTTTCGTGACCATAGGCTGTGTGCCCTTAAAAAAAAAATCACCCCACACATTAAAGGCACATTAAAGAATTAAATGGTAGCTAAAAAATATTGGGTGCCCCATCTCAGGAAAAACAGTGATCAACCTTTTCAAGAATCATGGATAAAGCCAGCTCACCCTGGCTTAAAAGATTTTATGTGTTTCACTCCAAGAATATACTAATTTTCCAATGAGTGCTGGAAATTCTACTTTACAGTAATGGTCCCATCCCAGAGTGTAATGATGATGCACTGACATTTCTGGTGATTAACCATTACAAAGCAAATATGGAAGTTCCATTAATAAACATACCAAAATCTTACCTCACATATAATTAAGTACAGCTCTGTGCTTGGCAGACTCAAATTTTACCCAAAACACCCCCTGATGCTTGGAAAATAGACTCAGATAAACTTAAAAGCTTGTTAAGCATCTGCAAACATTCAGAAATATGAAAAATGTTGGGGTTTTTCCCTTCTCTCATCTCTCATACACACCAGAACAAAAGCAACATCTACAGCCTATAGAGCCTTACAATACGCTTCGCTGCATAACTAAAGACCTTGGGGAGGAATGGAATTATTTGGCTGTGAATTGCTCTAGTTTATACCAGCAAAAGCTCCATAGTGCAGCCTGTGTGAACACATTTGAATTGTTCTATTTCCGAAACAATAAGCTGTGGTCCCTTTATACTAATGTGTTTACATCCATGCAAGGGATGTATATCAGAGTGGCTAAACTTTGTAAGACAAAAATGCTTGCTCCAGTCAGGCACATCCTGCTAACAAAAGCAAGTAACACCTACTGGGATAAGCTACACAGGCATAAAAAGACCTTGCAGGACTTAAGCACCAGATAAAGCAGCAAAAAAAGCTGTTTAACTTAGCCTGCAAAGCCTAAACTAGGTATATTACATAAAGTAGGCAAAATTGAAAGACCTGTCTTGGACAAAAAATAACTGGTTTAATTTTGGAAGTGAATCCAGATCCCACAGTCAAAAACCAAACAGAAACAAATGCACTACAATAAAAGCAACAAGAATTAGACAAAAACAGAATTAATTTTTCTGATTTTTTTTAATATTCCAAATATTTTAATTCAGCTAAGTTTTGTGAATCCTATTCTGTTTGTTAATAACAGTCACCTGCTAATAAATAAATTATTTACCTATAAATGTTATTGTTTATGGATAAATGTTATCCATAATAAATATACAGGCTCATATTCTTCCAACACCAGAGTCTTTGCAACAACAGTCAATAACCTTTCCTATTTTACATTCCCATTGATCTCTTCAGAAAAATCCACTTAAAAACCTTACATGTCTCAGCCTCTCATCCAATATAGAACAAACTCCAATCCCCTCCTGCACAGTATATACAGACCTCTTTATCATAGGCAGCTATGACAAGATATTTGCACTAATACAAGGTTCAGAACAAGCAATGCCGTATCAGCAGTCACTAGGTGGAATCAATTGACTAACCACTGACAGAAAAGAAGCATTTTAGCTGTTTCTTACACAGTGAACACCTTTTTGTAGTAATTCTTCATTCCAATGACTACAGCTCTTGCAGAGCTGTCACTAAACTCATGACAAGCTACAGAAAATACAGAAGACTTAATATGAAATGCATCAGTTCTGTGAAAATAAAAGGATTTCTAAACAGACAACTACATTTCTACATGATTTCTACATTTTTACATGATTGACACTACTGCCAGGTCTATTAAAGACAAAGAAGAGGAGATCTCCTCTGGTGCAGCCACAACAGAGATTTTAGGTGTCACTTAAATGCAGACCAAGACATACCCTGCACTTTCAATGTCAATATGCAGCCAAACATAAAAAGATGCATATACAAAACAAGAAAATATATGTATATCTGGCAGTGTAAATGTTGCAGATTTTGCAGATGCCAGTGTCGTAAGTAGTTTGTCATTAATTACACCCATATGCCTTACCTGTGAGCCTGCTGCTGCATTATTTATAAGATGATTGTTGGGATGAGAAATCCAGAATGTTGAAACAGCCCTGAAATATTCAGAAACTAGTTACTAAAGAAAACCTCTATCTCCAACAGAAATATCTTCCCTTTTTAACATGCACATCAGGAAAAGGTAAACTGATGAAGTAGCTACTTCACATTCAAAATACAAATCACAAAACCTTCCACATCTAGAAGTCAAAAATGCCTTTTATTTAATTTGGTGCATAGTATTGTATTTAATGCTATGCAGTTATCCTATGCAATGATAAACTGATTTAAGAAGCTTTCACAAGAAACAAGTAGTATTCAGAAAATATAGTGGTGACAACTTCAGAATATGGATAAATTTACACAGCAGTGATGTTCAACAGACTTTTAAGATCCCAAGTATCCCAAGAAACAACAATAATCCTAGAAAACATTTTTTTTTATTTAATAGAAGACTAAATGTTATTTTTATTGCTATTTTTAAACACCAGTACTATATGAACTACATTAATTAAATTATAGATAAAAATGTTTCCATCTGCATTTTGTCAAAAGATCATCAGCAGTTTAACTGCTGCAGCCAGCTGGGTTTTACTTTTTCATCATGACATACTCACATGCAATCTGTGGCTGGCACTGGGACATAACTTCCATATACCTTATCCCTAATCCCAATACACATGCTACTGTTTCTGTCTGTTGGTAGCAGAGTGCCTGGTTTTGTGACTAGCCCAAGGTTGTGGAACAAAGTATTCCTCTGCTCAATGCCATCTTCTATGAAGAAACAGTGACCTAGGGTATCATAGCCAATGGTGTCCTTTATCTGTAGAAATACAAGTTCATTATGCATTTACTCATGCATTTATTCATAACAGCATTTACTGAGATTTATTTGACAAATACCATCTAGTTTTACTATCTTGGCACAGCTACAAATAAAGTGTCAGTATCAGCAGCTCAGATGATTCAAGCACATAGTTTTATTCATCCCTTACAAACACACTGCTATGTCTTGAGAACTTAGCTGTCTCACAGCTGTCTCACTGCTAGCTGCTGTATGAATCTGAAAAAACAGAATGGTTTAACTGTTAAATTACTGTTTCCAGTAATTTATTTATCCACTGAAATAAGAAAACCATTGCTGAGCATTGGATTTGCAGAAGGGATGAGATTATTTTGGTGTCTACATGCTCTTTATAATATTTATCCCAAGACAATATGTTTTATTCCCCATACACCTACCAGCAAACCATTAGTTGCATGAACAGTCACACATCTGGAAAAACAGTGATGAATAGCAAGACCTTCCAGATAAGTTTTAAAAGTATATCCTCCTTTTTCATCCACATCCCCACAAAGGTGAAAGTGAACAGGGTAACTTCCAATCTGCTGCTGGCCCATTTGCTTCAATTCCACATAGGAAAGGTGAACAGATGTAAAATTCTTCAGAATCTAAAAAAAATGAAGTTCAGAGGGAAAAACCAATTATTTGCTTTTTAACCAATGGAAATTCAAGTTAATACATCATCTATCTCAAATGTACAGAAGCTAGATGTACACAGTTGCCACAGACCAACACAATAAAAGTTAGAACTAAGGTTACTGTCTTGTAGAAGCCCTACAAAACCGTATCCTTAATATATGACTTCAAAATTTAAATTTCCATGCGGCTACAACAGAGGAATTTTCACCAGACATATTGCCACACTTTACTGTTTGGTCTTTACCAGGTTGCACATTAAATATTCTTACAAGTACTGTCCAATCAAACAGAAGTCACCCATATCTGGTTGTGTCTGTAAAGAAGCTGCACCAGCACAGTCCATCTGGGACAAGCTTAGCTGAATAAAAACTACAGAATAATGGAGATTCAATGGAACCTGTTGAGATACCTAGCCCAGTTGAGAGCACAGTGCTGGGTCAGCTCCATAAGACATCTGCTCAGAGAATACCTCCAGTCACAAAGATGCTTATGACATCAATTTGTTCTTTCCCAGTATGTGAGCTTTATTTGCCTTCTTTAAGCCTGGTCCCACATTGCCTCTTTTCCTCTTGCTGTGCACCTCCAAGAACTGCTGTAGCCACTCTGAACCCTCACCAGTACCTGAAGACAGCAATAATATCTCTCCTCTCAGCTCCCCATCGCTCATCATCACACACTGCCACCCACCTTTCCAGGACACAGACCAGTGCATCTACATTTTCATTGCAATGAGAACCCAAAACTGGACACTGCACTCCAAAGAAATGTCTTTACTGAGGAATATATGAAATAACCCTCACAATCATACAACTTCCCAGAAACATTACTGTGTATGAAGTAAAGTCATAATGGGGGGGTACCAGTTATGCAGGAAAGTATTTTCTTCCACCTCACCTGCTAGAAAAGCATAATTCAAATGCAACAGCTAAACTGCAAGGAACTAACCTGAGTTAAAAACCAAAATTAAAAAAAAAAAAACAGAAACCAAAACAAACACTACTTTTTTTTTGTAACTTCATTTTATTAACTTATACTGAGTATTTATCAAAAATATCAATTTTTGTACGGCAATCAGTAAATTTTTTTTCTTCTTCTCTAACTGAACTCTTAGGGTTTCCATACCTAACATACAGAGGGATAGTCAAAACCTGACCTTTTGGGCTCCTCTAATCTCTAGCTCTTACTACTGAAAAGCACCAAAACTGCAAAAAAACCTCTCCTCACTGTTACTAAGCCCCGTTTAGGCTACTGAACTAGTGACCAGTACAAAATTCAGGATGTTCAAAAGCTATTACATTTCTTAACATCTAGGATCCCTCTGCTTGAGCATGTAAGATTAGCATAAGCCAAAAATACTTTCAGTGCTGAAGTCTAGGTTTGGCAGCAGACACTCACTACTCATTCTCCTGGGAACAATTTAACTTTAATGAGTCAAAATGTTTGTTTTCTTTTCTACCTTCCAGAAAACTGAAGGTCTGCTTACTTACACTTCTGTGGCAATCAAGGTCACTCTTAGCAAGATTCACAACTTGTCATTATCTTCTTTCATTACATTATCTAGAACCCTTAACGTCTTTAGTCTACCTACCTTCTTCCACAAAACAAAAGCTGCCACATAGTAGAAAAGGGCTTATTTTCTTTCCCACTATTATGGCCACCACTAGGAAAGTAAAATTTGTATCCAAATACATTAGAAAGAGATTTGAAATGTGATGACCACATAATGAGCACAAATATATTTGCAATTAAAATTTGAGGCCTCAAACTTCTCTTGCATCACTGAAGCACTACTCCTCAAATCTTTCATCTAAAAATGTAAGTGAACACAAGTTTAAATACTAGTTTCTAGAACATTCTCTCAGCTTTGTTTATGTTTATAATACAAGAAATTTGAAACAGTTTTTTTTATAGAACCGTAGTACTTTCAGAATTTTAAGAAACTAAATATAAAACCCCATAGTACAAGTAGGTTTCTTCCCCCTCCATGCCTCTCTCGTGCTCAGGTTCAGATGGCAAATCTGAATTAGGATTCAATGCTCACCACCTGGGAAGGTACAAAGGCAGTCAGAGGAAGGAAGAGAAATACTTGGGAAATCAAGTTTCATTCTGCAATGTTATAGGATGCACATCCATGGATGCCACTTGTTCCATTCCTGCTATACAATGTTACAGTACCTGCTGGACATTTCTAGAACGGTTTGAACATTATATCCCTTCCTTCAATACTGCAGACTAAATCTTGAGGAATTAGGTCTAATCTGGATTAAATCTAATCAAGAACAAAGTAATTTTCACACAAAGCAACTGAATGAACTGATGTTCTTTAAGTTTTCAAATCCCTTGAAGTGAAACATTAATATTTTTGTCCTTAATATGCTTTTATATGACATAAAGTTAATTTAAAATGTTTTTCAAACCTTGATATGTCCACCAAATGTATCGTAACTGAAGAACTGACACTCCTTTTCAAGATAGCAGGTATTTTCTGTCTCCCCCTTTATTAGGATGTTTCTTGTAAGAACTCCAACTTCTGCTCTCATGTCTACTCCATCAATTAGTTCTCCTACATGAGGAAACTGAGGGTTTTCTGTCCAACAAGTTTTGAAATAGGAGAAAAAAAAAAAAAAAAAAAGGAAAAAGGCCCCATGGATTAAAACCAGAATCAACTTACATAAATAAGAAATATAACCACAGCAACAAAACCCATGCATTCCTCTTCCTTAACATTCTGCTTTCTCTTAGCTTTTCTTATGGTAGATGTCTTTTTCATTTTAATAAGAAAGCAATCCTCACAAAATATCATCATTTTGTTTGCAAGTGCATCTTATAGTTTCAATCCAATAGTTTGTGAACAGAATGGGAAAAAAATAAAGAAGAGCTTATTAATCCAATTATCAAACTTTTAGTGAAACACAGATGTAGACTTGCTTTAAAAGAAAAAAATATGCTGGCTGCTTAATCTGTTTCAAAGGTAAATTAAGAACTGAAAGTGAAGCCAAAACACTGTTTGAAAATGCTGCATTGATCTCCTCCTAAAAGTAAAAAGGACTTGCTTTCCTTAATAAATTTCCTGTTTATGCATCTTCAGAATAGCCACTTAAGAAAGAGGAAATTAGGGAAAAGGAGATAGTCTGGTTTCACACCCTTCTACAAAAAACTAATCAAATTCTCATTGGAAGTAAGAAAATTATCTGGTTTTGTAAACCTTAAAAAATGCATTTATTGAAATCTTGAATACAGATTATCACTATCCTTCCAAGCCTGAAAAAAGGATATAAGCAAAAACTACCACAACGTGAAGCAGAACTAAGAGTGACACTAACATTGTACCTACTCCTGAAGATTTAAAAAGACAAGCAACATCTCTAAATGGGACTGCACTCCTCCCCCTAAAGGCTTGCCTACTGTTTTTCCCTATATTTGACTAGAAACCCAAGAAATCAAGTGTGGAAAGAGCAACCATGGCTACTACAACACAATACTTTTTAGTTTTCCTACTACAAACAGGTGAACCAGCAAAAAACCTAGTAAAACAATGCAAGAAATAATTTCAAAAGATTATACGTTCATCACTATGTCAAGTTTACCACTAAAGAGAAAATTCATTCATTGCGGAACAAATATGTAGGGTAGCATGGGGATTTTTTAAAACTGTATCTATTACTGTGACAAAGAAAACTACATTGAGGGTGGCCAAGAGCCCCAGCTGGGAAAGTTGACTGTAAATTCACCTCCTTTAAAATCTTTTTAGTTAGCATTAACTTGGGGAAAAACAAAAAAAAAAGGCCATGATTTTGTGTTTTACACCATATCATATATCTTGTAAAATGGGATTTTTTTAATCTTTAAAAGCAGTTGCTTTTTCACAGCACACAATTTCTAAGATGAAATACAGTCAATACACACACTACTCAGTGGTCACAAGAAACTTCTTAAACTTCATACTGCAACCTTTCAGTTAAGTTTGCTCTTTAAAACACTGTGCCAAATAAAACACATCACATGACACATAAAGCTCAGGAAATATCATGTTCGGTAGCACTAAGTTAGCTCTGCAGCTTTACTCAAACTGGTATTCTCTGATGGTGTAATAATATAAATGTGGATATGTTTTCTTCATACTTGAGATTTCTCAATGCAGTAAAACATACTAACCCATGCTAACAAATGTGTGAGAAGCAAATTTCAACACCAGAGGAACAGACAGACTGGCAGTGCCTTGAGGCAGAGGTGGACAGGGAAATCTGAGGGTGTTGACAGAGAACTTCCGAGAATGAAGAGCACTTTGAAGAAGAGGAAGTGGCACTGTGCAGAAATTAAGAGGACAAAACCAGACTGAGAAGGGCACCCGTGAGCAGCTGCAAACCAACACTGCAGAACAACACTTGTTAGTTTGTGCTATGGGCTGATACTGCAGCCCACCAGGAGCGAGAGTTGTAGCTCCAGACCAGAAGCTGGAGGACACCAAGGGGGAGGGCAGCACCATGGAGCAGGTGTGGAGCAGCAGAAGGAAAACACAGACGCCAGCATAGCTGGCAAGCCAGTCCCATGGGAGGCTCTTGTGATGTCAAGCAGAATGACTCAGAAAATAAAAAGGAAATGGTCAACAACATGCATGACCATTTACTTGTGCATCACACCCAAAGGAAAAACAGATTGCAACTACTCAGGGATATCCTGTGAGAGCAAAATCTTGGAAGGGCCACTTATTTTATAACCATTTTGTTGGGGAGGTGGTAAAAAGGAGACTGAGCGAAAGGAGAAAAAAGAAAAAAGGTACAGGTTCAAGTATTGCAATTTTCTTTTTTCCTTCCTGTTTTTATTTCTACTTTTGTAATAAGGAAAGAAACAGAAAAAAAATTATGATAACAGTTCAAAAGATGAGAAGGACATTTAAGGCAAGAGAAGCAAGAAATGACCACAATAGCTATTCAAGCATATATAAAGAGAGCTTTATACATGAAAAGACAGAAAGGAGCCAAGGGAGGAAAACAAGCCTAACCCTACTGGAAAAAAAAATAAGGCATTTAATGAGCCTGGGAAGAAATGAGAAAGAAAAGTTAGCACAGTGAGCTGCGAGGCAGACCTGACACAGTCATTTTACAGCAAGGAGAATTACATATCTGTTTATGTGGAAACAAACCCATACAGCGATTTGAGAAAAGGCTGGTTTTTACTGCTTACACCACAAGGGCACGTCCAGCAGCAAATGCATATTTCACACAGATCTTCAGGTGGTGATCATACCTTTGACTTTAACCTGATGCTTGGTACACTCTGTGCAGGGAAGGAGGGTGAATTCCTCAGTCTGATACATCGAATAGTCTGTGCTTGCAACCACAATCCTGTCTCCTGGCTCCCAGCTACTAACATCATCTAGAAGATTCAGTATTACTCCACCCACTGCTTCCACCTGGAAGCCTGATATTGGAACACCTAATTTAAAAAAAAAAAGAAAATTATCAAAGATTACAGTCACCTTTATATGAAACAATTCCCAAGAAGATACTATTAAAATATGTATGAGATTTTGCAGGCCCCAAAGCCCCCTAAAGTACAACTCTGACCTCAAACATGCCAGTGTGAGATGCTTTTACAGCTTGTTTACTAACTGGATCTCAAACAAAACAAAGGGAAAACACAGAACTAATGGTGACTGGAATAATCTATGATTTTTTTTTTTTCCTTCATAAAACCCTGTATCATATGGCAGTAATTTGTAGGTCCAGCTACCTCTGCTTGTTTCAAATGACAAAATGACATTTTTTTGCCATTTTAAACTGTATAGATGTAATCACGGACATGGAAAACAAAGTAGAGGACTTCCTTTTTTAAGCAGATCTAATAGAAAAGTTTGGTAGACTAAATTGTACACACCAGCTTACGATGAATTTGCATAAGTTCAGCTGCTTTTGCTAACTCTTGAACCTAATTCTACAGCGTCAGTAAGTACAAGATGTATTCTTTAAATGTAAGTCTTTACATTTTCATGGGGCTATCAAGAACAGTAAAGGGGTAGTAACAAATAGCTCAACTGCCTAACAAATAACTACCATAAAAAATTTTAACTTTATAAGTACCATAAAATTTTTTGAGGAAAACACAGTAGCATTTAGTAATTCTAAAAAGAGAAAGAAATTATTACCCATAAAAACTCAAAGATTTCTTAAATTTTAAAAAAATTAATAAAGGATAAAACCAAGCAAGTGGCAGGTTTTCTAGCTTTTTATACCAAAGATTCAACTCTGTATCAGAATGGCTGCCTAAATCTCAGCACTCTAAGAGCAACCAAAAATTGTAGCAAGACTAAAACATTTATTTTGGTTTCTGTAGTTTGTTTTGGTTTTTTTTTTTCCTTTGGTTTTTTGTACCATAATCAATATCTCAGAAGCCTGATTTAAATATACATGAACTGCCAAATTATGAAAATAAATTTTAAAAGTGTCAAAACTTATACAATTCCTATCTTCTTCTAAATATACTAGAATTTAAGACTCAATATTATGCTGGTCACATCCTGTATACAGAGTGCGAAAATAGGTAGTACTGAAGAACTGTGTCCTCCTATTTCATCCATAGCAAGAAAAAATAACTTATAGCAGCACTCAAAAATTTAAAATGCAACCAGAAGTTTTAGTGAAAAAAAAGCATATGAATTTTTGCATATGAATTTTGCATATGTATTTTTTCTTTTTCCCTCAAATGTAGAATTTCACAAAACACTTTCCTACCATCATTCCATTCGCTGTAAGCTCTCACAACAAACTTCTGACCATCCAGTGTGAAAAACTCTTTTTGAGCAAGAGCTTTCCCACCAGTGCTGTGGTTTTCATAGTTTCTCACTGATTCATTACAGGAAGAATTTCCACCACCTATGACACCAACTAAAGCCCAGGCTTGCCTGTGAAAATCAAAAGTAAATGTTTAAATATAATGGCCCTTTAAAAATTCTTTATAAAACCAGGAAAGGCAAGGAGTATAGAAGTCATAAAAAACCCTTTTGCTCGCTCTTCCAAAAATTAATTTTAAAATGCAACTTCAAAATGTAGAAGGACATGGGCAGACATAACAGCAGAGAAAAAAAAAAAGTATAAATTAACTAGGTGTCCTATACACAAACTGGCAAATAAGAGCTCTTACTGGGGAGGGCTTTCATATACACTTTTAGTTAAACATTGAACAAGACACACATTTTTCCAAAAATTGCTAGAGATGTGTGACAAAAGCCACATAGGATCCTATTCCCAAACAGCTTTCACAGGGCCCAGGAGGAGCAGGAGTCAGTACCAATGTTCCTGCCATAGCCCCCTACCATTTGCCAGCAACACCCCAAAGGAGCAGTCAGGACTCCAGGGGACCATGTGTTCCTCAGGCCAGGAGGGATGACACAGCCAGCATCACCACAGACATTGGTGCTCATCCCTGTGCCAGACAGGCAATAGCTTTTGAAAATTTCAGGATGCTCAGACCCAGAAAAGGAAATGCATGCTGTTACACAACCTTCGTACAATACACCACTCGTGTGTAACTGTTTGGAAATTGAAAGCAAACCATGTGCCACAGATAGCTGTCACCAAGTTCAAAAAAACAAGTTTATTTTGCTGTCCTTTACTGCTCTATACAGCCATTACCACATGTGCAAAGGAAGCAGTCAAGATCATCTATAAGAAAGCCAGACAATTTTGCATCACTAAAGTTGAATCATTCACCCAAGTGAAAACAGTGTCAGCTAGCTGGACTGCGTCTGTTGCTAATGATTGATTCAAAGGCAGATATTAAAGCCACCTTCTCCAGTTGCCTTTATTTTAACCCTTCTTGATGTTTTTGTTGATTGGGATCAAAAAGCCAAATAATACTTTAGCATTAACATGTTCACAGAAATAGTACATACTGGGTCAGCTTTTTAGTAGCAGCAGCAAACAAGCTGAACATTTCACATACTAACATTTAAAATTAAGTTATTTTGATGCATGCTTTGCATTCCATGTGTTGCAGGAAGAAGTAGAAGGGGAAAGGGCTGTAGTGGAGTATTCACCTCCACGCTGACATCTTTTTCACTACCATTATAGGTTTAAGAAAATGATGTTGCTTTTCCTGAGCAAGCCATCAGGGACAGCTTCCTGCCTATCTTCCACCACAGAAGAAAACAATTTTACGTGCTTACAGAGCCTTAACTAACTATGGAAAGCAGACAAGGACCAGGTCAACAGAGAGGGGAAAAAAAAGCTGCTTCTTCCCAGTTACAAGCTGAAGTTCCTAATTTCAGACAAACTGATGTGGAGGTCATAGGCAGAGACAAACCCCAGAAACATACATCTCTCAGGCCATGCTGGGCTGGCTGCACCACAGACTGAGCAACGTGAAGCCACACAGGCTTTACAGCTTTCAGTAAGTGGTATTCTACTACAGGACATCCAGGTCTTGGCACTCTTGACCAAACTGCTTCAGAGGCAAGAGCATTCCATTCCACACCCCTGTGCTTACATAGCCAGTGACACAAATGTAATCCTGACAGGAACTGAGGTCAGAACATGCCATCCTGACTGACACGCCAGCCTGCCTCTGCCAAAGCACAGGGAGGAAACTAACTGGAATCCAGATGTCAGGGGATAGCAAGGGATAAGAATAGAATGGAAAAACCAAATGACCAATTTCCTGGAAAACACTGGACAATATGAAGAGGTTATACAACACCATCCCAATAGAAGAACAACAGACTGGGTATACTTTTTACTTGTATTGCCAGCACACAATCACAGAATCATTTAGGCTGGAAAATACCTCTAAGATCATCAAGTCTAGCCTTCGACCAATGGCCACCTTGTCAACTAGACTACGGTACCAAGTACCACATCCAGTCATTTCTTGGAACATCTCCAGAGATGATGACTCCACCATCTCCCTGGACAGTCTGTTCCCATGCTTAATATACCTTTCCCTTACAAAATTCCTCCTGTATTCAACTGTAAACCTCCCCTGATGTAGCTTGAGGTTACATCCTCTTGTTCTGTCACTGGTTGCCGAGGAGAAGACACTGCCCACCCCCCCACCTCCACCCCCAACAAGTAGAGAGCAATAATGTCCCCCTAAACCTCCCTTAGTTCAGGCTAAACATTCTCAGCTTCCTCAGCATCTCCTCATATGACTTACTACACTCTAGACCCTTCCTCAACTCCATTGTCCTTCTCTGGACACATTTCAGACATTGGTCTTTCTTGTAGTAAGGGACTCAAGGTGTGGCTTCACCAGTGCCCAGTTCAGCACTGCCATGCGAACCACATTATTGCTGATACTAGCCAGGACCTCCCTAGTCATCTGGGCACGTTGCTTTGTGTTGCCCAGAGCAGTGTGGACAACCCTCTTGACACAAAGCCAAATCCAGAACATGCACACCAAAAAGCCATTTGCAATGGCTAAATGAAGAGCAATGAGGAGCAGTGTAAGTTTCCTGCTTTAATAACTCCTGTTATACCTCTTCTACTGTCGCACCATCCAAATCCTGACCAACCGAAAAGAATGGTCAAAAGATAAAGAAACATCTTGTAACTGCATGTCAATCATAAAAGAAGTTGACAGGTCAGTTCCTTCGAGAACTCAGAGAGGTAATGTACTTTTATTTCAACAGTACAGAAGTATGAATAAGATGTTTGATACCTGGGATTAGTATCCCTTTGGATTGGAATGAACCTTAGAGATCCTTTAGTTGCACTCCTTGCTCTTCCAAAGTCATACAAATTAAAAGCTTCACCTACTGACTGTTATCTATGTCTTAGTTTAATTTCTATAAAGAAGAGTGAAAGCAAGCAATTTTGAGTAAGTAAAAAAATCTGTCACACAGACACCAGTCTCTGCACTGTACTGCTAACTGAATGCTATTACTGCAGCTCTATGTACAACACCAAGAACTCTGAAAACCTTATGAACTGTCAAAGTATAAAAAACATCCCACAGCAGAACCTGCACATCATCTTTAATCAGCTCAAAAGGGCAAATAAATTACTTACCTGTAACTTAATCCTCTGACAAACCTACTTCCCAGAAGATTTTGAATAGTCACTCTGGTTTCCTCCAAAAGATTTTTAGCAGCTGAATCTCCTACAGCAATAGCAATAATGCGACCAGGATGCCCATTTTTCAGTAAGTTCTGGAGCTTTAAGCTTTCCTCTGCAAATTCATGAGTATCAAACTTCAGCACTTCCAAAACCTCTGCTGTATCCTGATCGATCACTCTAACATTTAGTCCTCGGGAAAAATTCTTTTTAAATGTATAATGACCATAGGCCAGCCCTGAGAAATATATAGTCTTTGACAGAAGAGTCCATGATACCTTCTGGTGCCCGTGCAACTCCAGCGTTCCTTCAGGGCCCACGCCAATAAATTTTTTGCCAAATTCTGGCACATCAGCACCTTCATTTGACTTCCCATACAGAATAATAGTTGCTTTGGATTTATAGCGGCATTTCTCTGCTCCAACATGAAGCATTCCACCATCCTTTATCAGGATAAATCGAGTTCTCAAGGTAATATTTTTAGAACCTTCCTTATCATCACCAAAAACAAGTAAACCTAAAGGAAAAAAAAAATACTTTCTGTACATCAAAGCAAAATTCAGAGAGACTCAAATAAACATGTTTTGCAGAAAGAACAACAGAAAAATTACAGACTTATTTTTCACACCCATGAATTAAGCTTACATATACTTAAGAAAATTTGATAAAGTAACTGCTACCAATTGTGGTTCATCTTTCTAAGCATTTTCTGGTTTATTCCTATTCTTTTTCTTCCTGTTTGGTAGGACTACTAATATACAACAGTTACCACTGGAGGACGAACAGATTGAGTACCACACAGGCTACTAAACAACCTTGTTTTCCTATATTGCACAGAAAACTACATCAATGCTGCACTGAAAAGATACTAGAGTATCATGATACTCTAGTATCATCAAAATAATTAATCTCTGAATGATATATCTGACCTGGCAGCAGGCTGAAAAGTAAAAAATATGCAGGACACTGAAGCAAGGTGTTCATCTTGCTATTTCATACCTCCATCCTGTATAACTATAGAGTGTACTGTAGCGTCTGAGTTCAGACGAAACAAATCCCCTTTTTTGATAATAACTCGTTTTTCAGGATCCTTTCCAGGGTTCCAGTTTTTAAGGCGAGGATTCTGATCAGGACAATTCTCTGCAATGCAATGTGAAATCCAACTTTAAGAAACAAACATCAAATAAATCAAGGTGGCATTAGGATGAACAAAAGCAAGAAAGGGTCAGTCACCCACAGAGGACTCCCACATCCTTATGTGCGTTCGATACTGCAGTCATTGCATTTGAATAGCCAAAAGACACTGGAAAAACATCTGCAAGTCTCGGGGGTAGGAAGGCATTCTTTTACTGAATTAAACTACTCTTGACCACACATTATTGACCATAGATACTTTTGAACCACATCTGATTTTTCTCTTATCTGCTACTTCACCTGTAGAAGATGAGAAGAGATAAGCAGAATGCAGTCAGAGAGCCATCACTGAGAACTGGAAGCCTTCAGCCAGCTAACTAGGCTAACATGGTTGTAAAGCATCTAAATATCCCACCTCCTCAAGGTCCCAACCCTGTCAGAAGGGTTGATCCCTTCTTACTTTTAAACAATCAAATCATTCTCTCAGGAAGTTTGCAGGAGGGACAAGACACCCTGAACATATTATACCCTGAGTATAATACCTAACTAGCTAGAGTAGTTTCCCAGGACATGAGACATTTGGCTCTAACTTAAAAATTTGTATCCCTTAGGAAGTCAGCCTAAATATCAGGCTACAAACTACACAAGACGCACTCAGTCCTTGCTGAAAGCCATGGCCTATGCAGGCTACAAACCAAGCTACAAGGCTAGAGAAGGAGAGGCAACAGCAAGAAGTGACAGGCTTGTATGATTTCTGACAAAGTTACAGCAATGTAGCATTTATACCACACACCTCTTTAACAAATTAAGCATCTGAGTAATGTGAAAGCATAGACACACTATAAAAACTGGAAAGTCAATTCCTTGGATTACCTTATCAAAATTAAAAATAAATATTAAAAAAAATAAATATTAAAGATATTTTCCTGTGCAAAAGACAATCAAAAAGTTGCCAAAATAAACATGTTAGCAGGTCAACTGAGTTTAACAGCCAAAATAACTTTTTCACATCCTGTCTTCTCAAGAAATACACCCACACTTCTGAAGTGCTACTTCGGAAGCAAAAAGCTATAGTCCATTCCTGCAATAACTAAAGAAACCAAAACCTATCCACAAGTTTAATACAAGCCAGCCTTAGTTTTGCTAAGAGACATGTTCTTCCTTTTGTATTAACTCTCCACATTTCAAATCCCTCCCAACCCAGAAAAGCCACATAAACCAAGATTTGACTACCAGTGGGGAAAAATTAGCAAACTGCAGAAAGGGCAGAAGGCAGACAAATAGTATTATGAAAATAAAAGCAATATAATATCTTTTGGGAGGATCCTATGAAGACAGCTTTTAGAAAATGTAATTCAACACGAGGGAAAGCCAAAAAGCAAGGAGATGCAATCAGCAAGACTGCTGAGCACTCACCGGATAAAGGCAAGCCTACTGCCTGACTCATGCAGAGTCCCTAATCCCTTTTCCCCAGACACCACACACACAAGCACTGTGAAGAAACACTTATTTCCTGGCTGGTAGCGAAGGGCAGTGTGAGGAAACCATGAGTCAGCAACCTGATGACTTCTGCTTAGTGTGATTCACTGAAGAGAAATCTAGCGAACATATATTTTCCTGCTGAATCAGAAAGAAGACTATAAAACAGTAACTAAAAAAAATTATGATTTTAAAATCGATTGTACATTATAATCCAGCAAGAAAGCTATCAGAATCAGAATCAGGCACTGCTGTAACGCAAGCATGCTCTTGGAGCACAGCAGGTCAACTTTTTGGCAAGCAGATCAGATGTTCAGCAAAAGTATTTAGAAATTCTCCTTTAGCAATTGTGGTGGGCTGCATGAAAATATCATCGAATATTTAGAAGTTCACCATATGTTATCTCCAAAATTATGAAGTAGATTTTACAGATAACAGTTACTGCCCTTAAAGTTAAATAAAAACAGAAAGGCAGACCAGAAACCTTTAGGTAGTGATGACCTTGACAAATTTAGGCACTCATGTTGAAAATTTTTCAAGTCAAGCCTCTGCTTCAAAATATTTCTGTAAAAATGGGTCAGCATTCTTTCAGGTTTAGTGGCTTCTATTAGAGCTGGGGAGATAAGTAAATTTTCTACAAGTAGTGGCGGAAAAGTACACCATCCCTCTCACAGAAAGCATCCTGACCAAAAAAAAATACCCAATGCTAGACCCTTTCATGGAGGAAGCATATGAAATGTGACAGGAGAAAAAGACAGGCAGGGAACAGTTCCCAAGATACAACTAAATAGTTACTTTCTACTTGTTTAGACACCATGTCTAGAACTTTGAAAGCCTCTGGGGAAAACTTATCAGTGTTGTATTATGTTCAGCAGAAGTTTATAAGACTTTGGCAGCTAAATTTTCTGAGGATCCTGTTTACTCTGAGTAAGGTCCAGCTGAGCGCTGGAAGAATGAAGAACTTTTCCCAGCTTATCTCCCCAGCTTGACCTCACATCAGAAGCCTGGGGAAATGGGGAAGGAAATTGTATTTCTATTGCTTTCCCTGATCTCCAGTGTTCAGGACTCCTTAGAAGAGTCAGGAGTAGATGTCAGGAATACAGAAACAAAGAGGAAAAAGAAACCAGTTGATAAGCAGGAACAGAAATGCTGATAAGCAGCATCTTCCCTTTGGGGAAAGCATAGCAGTAGTTTAGAATTTACACGCATTAACTACCAAGCATCACATTCCTTCCACTGCCTTCTAAACAGCCATTAAAAGTTCTGACAATATGGATTTCCAATTAGTCCTGAAGAAAAGCACAACAAACTGGAACTGGTGTTGTGCTTGGGTCAGAGCTATTATGCACATTAACATTTCAACCTGCTGGGAAACTTTTGGGGAGTTTCTGTGACCATACTGCAAGATTAAAACATCAGCCAGGCTTTCTTTAGTGCCTGTCAGGAGTTTCTCTCATGTCAGGGTTTTGCCATATAGAATAAGTATGGCAGGAAGGAACCACAGTGGGTCATTTGGTCCAGCCTCCCTGCTTAAGCAGGGTCATCCTAGAGCACATTGCATGGAATTCTGTCCAGAAAGTTGTGGAATATCTCCAGTGATACTCCACAGCCTCTCTGGGAAATCTGTCCCAGCCTATGGTCACTCACACAGCAAAGAAGTTCTTCCTCATATTAAGGTGGAGCTTCTTATTAACTCTTGTCTTATTGTACAACAGCGCCAAGAAGAGCCTGGCTGCACTCCAAAGTATTTCAGTGTGTTCACTGGCAAGTCACCCTCCAGTCTCCTCTAGAATTTGTCTGTAATGAAAGTACTTACTGCAAATGTACCCATTACAAGCAATATGTATCATAACAGATGAATGATCCTCCATTTACTAGTCCCTAAGGTTTTGTTATTTTCCTTTGCAATTATTAGAAAAGCTCAGCAACTTCACCCAAGGGGGTATCTTAGCAAGCCACCACCAAGAGCACTTCAGTTGGATACATCCATTTATTTTGTACTGTCATCTGAAATCTTCAGTCGATTATGTGATTTGTTCAGCCTGTATTGCACTGACTTTGGAAACAGCATCGTTATGATTACTATGTCAAAAGCCACTAAGAAGTCTGTTATTACAATAGCCAACAGTTTCAATTCTGTTATTACAGTATCCAACAGTTTCAATTCAAAATCCTATTTAGCTTCTAGACACCTGACTTCTGCCTTAAAAACAGCAAAAAATCCCAAACAAAGTCATCAAAACAACCACACTGCAACTGTACTATCAATATTTAGCAACTACAACTCATAGCATCTAGGAGTTATTGGCTAGAGGGATGTACACTTTGTGATCACAGGACCTGTTGCTGCCTTACAACCACTGACACATTTCAGAGATTCTTCAAATTACAAAGAAGTTGCCCAGTTTTCTAAAATGAGCTGGAAACAAAAAATCAGGGCTAACAGAACAAAAAAAACTCCCTGCCCAATTTGCATATAAACAAACACATACTATTAGCATAGGTTCTCAAAGATTTTTAGATTATTTTACTTCACCATATTTTTACTATCTCCCTTAGTTACAGCTGAAACAGACAGGATTTAGTTTTGTCTACAATTTGTGCACATATGAGACAGCTTCTGCAGATAAAAATAATTATGCTTATAAAACATTCATGCTTTTCTCCCCTCAACACTAATCCTTATTTATTGCTATGCCTTTCTGTTTCAGGTAATTACTTACAATCAAACCATATGTAATAAAAACAACACTGATAACAAAAACAAAGCTGATCTTTGCCCCCAGTCTCTGCCTCCTGCAATCTTAAAATCACAGTGAGTGTCCTATTATCCTTCAGCAATAATCCTGATGCTGAATTATTGAGTTATATTCACAGGCAGTATATATAACTTCTAGGATGATTTTCTTAATGAACTTACCATCTGGAGCATATTTTGAAGCTATTCCCAAAAAAATCCCCAGTGCAACAAAAAGTGAAAGGCTAGAAATGGCAGAGCAAATAAGAGTATTTTTATGTCTGTTGGCTTCTGCCTGTCGGCGGTGCTGCTCCACTGATAAGGATGGGAGTCTTGTCTGTGCTTCCTGTCTTGCCGAGGTAAATTCTGCTGCAGCATGGTTCTGCGAAGGCAGCGGGGGACGGAGAGGGGCAATTCTCCCTGGGACGTACCCCGAAGACCTGTGACTGCTCCCGTTTTGAGGACGGAGGAATGCAGGGGAGCTCCCCCTGGTATCAGTGCCTTGCATGTTATAAAGTCACTGGAACACACACAGAGAGGCAAAAAGTAAGAGACAGGCTTTCAGAATACAGATCAAAATGCATAAAACAAAAAAAAAAGAACAACAGAACACAAACTTAAGCCACATGTGTCAAGAACAGCCACTGAAGCTGTGACTATTTACAAAATAGGTGTTACTCAGTTCCTACTGGTTACTTGCCATGGTATAAGTGCACGGAAGAACAGCACATGCATCTTCAACACAATTAAACTCATAAGCATGTGGTGTGGGAACCCAGTAAAACACATACCATTTCTTCATAGTTCCAGGGGGTATTTTTCACTGAGTATTTTCACAGTTAACTTGTATTATGAGATTAAGAAATCAGATGAACAATGAGAAAGCTAGCAATCCCTGCTTCCCCACAGTTATGCAAAGAATGTCTAAATGTATTTTTTTCTGTAAACGGAAGCTGAACAAACACCTCACTTTCCCTTATGGAAAAGAAGCTGAAAAAGATATGCCTGCCTTCTACAGTAGAAGCCTGCCTGCCTTCTACAGTAGAAGCCCTAAAAGCTGTTTAAATTAAAATACCAAATACTCTTTTATTTCTAGTCATGCTGATGCAACTTAGTCAACACTTTTAGTAAACTGAGGTGCATAGAGCCAGAAAACTCTTGATTTACTCACAGCAAAATTCAATTGTTAGTAAAGGTACATCACGAATGGTCCTATAAGAAAGTCACCTACACCTTATTCAGCAAACCTTGTGATTTTTTTTCTGAGGAGATGCCTGGGTTTGGACACAAAGCCTGGAAGCAACATGCCTGCTCTAGATCTCTGCACCTATCATCCAGAAGTGAGTGCTGCTTTTATTTCAGTTACTAGTATTGTTTCCATCTTTCTTCTGAAGCACACCAAGAGGAAAGTGCCACCCTATCAGTGCCATCATTGCCTGGCCCATCCTCAGCAGCAGCTCTAACTCACCACACTTGAATAATTTGAGAGACATACCTGCATTTGACTGTTTTCTCTGGTTTTCCAGTCAACAGTGCTGCACGGGGTATTCACAAAGCTGGCATAATTTTTTTTATCCTCATTATGATAACATTTCTAACAGATCAAATGTTTAGAGAAGGATGCTCAAGTTTCAGTTAACTGAAAGCTAACTTTTGAAACTAAATCCTGAAGGGGATTTATGCATAAGTCATGTGCATTAAACAGCAAAGTGTAGGAAAAATAAAAACTACTGATAATGCAAGAGTATAAAGATCCTCTTTCTGTTCCATTAACAAAGGGAAGTCTGAGCCATATTCTGAAGTGTCAGGCACGCTGATGAAGGAGAAATGTGACAGCTGTAGTCTTATTCTGAGAAGTAGCAAAGGAGCCTTTTGTCGCACATGGTGCAAAATCTGATAGTTCACTGTTTCCAGGAAAAAGAGCTGTTACTATTGAACAGGCTGGATTACCCTTTCATAGGAGACAATTCATCTCCTGATGTATGCACAATGCCAATGAAGGCACTGAAACATTAACTGGAGTAGTTATCCCAGAGTGCAAAAATTATTCCAAGTCCTCTTCTTATAATGCACCTGTTCATTACAATAAATTAATTTTTCAGCATTCTCCTTTCTGTTCTTTGGCAAACCTAATCCTCTGCTCTCAAATTTAACTGCCCAACCAGTCACGTGCACTGTGCAACAGTTTGCTTTAACTTCACTTGCTTTTATTCAGCTTATCACCTCTGAGAAGTGAAAGTAAGTTCTGTGTTTTCAATGTGGTATTAAATGCTGGGTAGAGATGGAGCTTTTTAGCTAGTTCAAATAGTTCAGTATTTATGTCTAGCTAAACAAATGCTGGACTAGCTTCTTAATTAAACATTTTAAGAAATCTGATCAAGCATCGAGATTTTATTTTTTTATGATTTGAAACCCCAGCTCCTTAAACTTGGTTAATTTTTCAGTTAGGACATTTTTCTGTGACACTGAAAAAATTACTACAGCGTTCATCATAGTGTAATATCAACAGCTAAGAAGTTTTTAAGCTACTCAGCTATAGCAACTGAATCCAGATTGGCTATGCAAAACTTGCAACTGTTTTACAAAATAATTTTCCTACAATTCTTCCCATCAAGGCCTCCTAAAGTACTGTCAGACCTCTAAAGAAATAAAATAAATAAATAAATAAATAAACACCAAACAAATAAAAACATTCATTACAGCAGCTGTTGGAAACACTTGTGCCATATTTCAAACATATTTTGTGCTGTACAAAGCATTCTGCTTTGTTTGCAACCCTCATTTTGGCAATTGTAAAAGTTTTCAACTATCCCACTCAAGTGAAAACACAGGCACCCCAAGGATGGGTGGGAAAGAGAAGGCAGAATTGCTGTCTTAACAATTACAAAATAAAAATAATTACACTAAGCCAATAAGCAGATACTCGGTACAGTCTAAAGACTCACCATACAATTTTCCATCACAACAGGAGTAACCATTGCAATATTTCCTTCCCTCTGCATGTGTTATTTGAAATTCTCTAGCTGAAAAAGGATGTCTTCTATCCTGTAGAGCAGCTACTAGCTTTTTTGAAAGATAGAATGATAATCTGATTCAAATTATTGGCTTGTTTCTTTCCACTCTGTGGAAGCCTTCAAAGAGCACCATATAAAAGCACGTATAGTAATTGTCTGTATGGCCAGTTATGCACCAGAGAACGCAATTATTTGGTTGCACAAATACAGATTGCATGCCCCAAATACAGCACAAATTTTACTCTGCAAATACATTTACAGACTGAAATGTAGGACAAAATACCCAAACTGTTAAACTATTTAAATACCACATTGAAAATTCCTATGCACCTGAATTTTCCCACATTTCCCTTTGACCTGTGCCTATACTGTGGTCTCCTAAAGGAACTCATGATCTGGGCATCTCTTCCTGATGGTCAATCCCAGACAAGAACATCTCCCACCTTTGCAATTATACTCTGGTACACAGAATGGTGCAGTAATTTACTTTGCAGCTTACTTCAGAGTGTTTTCAATAAGAGTCAAGTTCTCACACCATATACAACCAATTAACTAACATTTATACAGAGTTCTGTCTGTACAAATGTGTCATTTGTCATGCCATTTATGAATCCTGCTTTCTCACTACTCTCAAACTTCTTGCACGTCAGCTCTCAACATAGTATTATGCAAGATTTTAAATCCATTATTCAACACAGCTTTCAGTCAGAGACACACTTAAGCAGTGCTTCCAGCTCATCAGTAAGAGGGAAGCTTCCAATGCACAGACTCAGCTGGAGGATCTCAGATACTTCATCCCACAACATATCTGGAGTATTTAAATTAATTCATTGCCATCCATCTGCTGGATGACAGCACTATTTGCATATCGCTCTTTTGCAAGAGTAATATAACTCTATGCAATCCAGGTTTCTGCTCATGCACCCCTTCCTACAGCATGAGCAAGCAAACAAGTACTTCTCATACTGGTGACATCAGCCAAGCCAACTTAAACCACCTTAAATTAAAAAAACAAAACCCATTTAAAAGGTTTATTTTGCACAGCTTCCAGGTGAAAACAGTGAATACCTGCAAGCCTGGACACATCTACAGACCAACTGAGCAAACAGATGTGGACAGCAAACCCCAGCATACAGACAGCAGTGAGCTACTGAACAGGCTGCAACATCTCCCATCTGCTCAAGTATTCCTTCACTGCTTTTAACTTGTGCTGCTACCACACTCTCATACAAGCCCACATTGTTCCACATGGTCAGAAACTGGAAGCATATGCACTGTACAACCAGGGCATAACATATGAACCTCCTGAGACATGACTGTGCACTCAGAAGCAAGCAGCATGCTTATCCATTACTCATTTTGGGGCTGGTTTCCTGGGAAGAAATTGGCTTATTTTGCCAGATAATTCAAAATGTCACATGACACCACCCAAAAAGTGAGAAAAAAACCAAGATATTTTACACTTCTGTGTTGTCAAATGCTAAGTGTAATAAAACATGTCAAACATGCTAATAAACTCCCACACCTGCACCATCTGAAAATGTTATACAGAATGTTTGCTTACTTCATAATTTATTCACCTCTTTAAGCACATTTTAAGGATCACAGGTCTTAAAAATAAAACAAAAGAAACCAGAAAAAATGATACACTTCTGTTGATCTGGGTCATCAAATTACACCAGCTCTAGTGCTGACCTATTACCACACTGTCTAGTCTTAAGAGTATATAATTGACGCTAAGGAAAAGACTGAACAAAGGATAGAGGAAAACAACACATACAAAAAAAAATATTTCTCCATGCAACACAGTAGTAAATTTGCAGACAACATTAAGCTGAGAGCACGAATCAATTTGTTGGAAGGTAGGAAGGCTCTGCAGAGAGACCTGGAATGGTTGGATGGATAGGCAGAGTCCACTAAGATGAAGTTTAGTAAGTCCAAGTGCCGTGTCCTACATTTTGGCCACAACAACCCCCTGCAGTGCTACAGGCTGGGGACGGTGTGGCTGGACAGTGCCCAGGCAGAAAAGGACCTGGGGGTGCTGGTTGACAGCTGGCTGAACATGTGCCCTGGCAGCCAAGAAGGCCAATGGCTCCTGGCCTGGATCAGGAATGGTGTGGCCAGCAGGAGCAGGGAGTTCATCCTTCACCTGGACTCGGCACTGGTGAGGCCACACCGCGAGCGCTGTGTCCAGTTCTGGCCCCTCCGTTTAAGAAGGGCATTGAGACACCTGAGCGCATCCAGAGGAGGCAATGAGGCTGGTGAGGGGCTTGGAAAACAAGCCCTGTGAGGAACGACTGAGGGAGCTGGGGATGTTTAGCCTGGAGAAAAGGAGACTCACTCCCTAGCTAAAGGATATCTCTATCTACTGTAAAGAAGACTCATTCTTATGACACTTTACAACTTCCTGAAAGGTGTTTTTTGTCAGGTGGGGGTAGGTCTCTTTCAGTAGGCATCAACTGACAGAATGAGAGGACATAGTCTTAAGCTGCACCAAGGGAAATAT